AACCCTCCAGAGCAAAACCGAAGCCGGGCATTGGAGGAAGATGTGTTCGATTGTTTCGGCCCTTTTCCTCCTTGGATAGTTCAATAGGCAACTACGGCACCAGGGTAATGCCCGACCTTGCTGCTCCAGACGGGTGTGATCTATCAACCAGTCATTTGTTGGCAGGCAGCGGTGGGCTATTTGCCACTGAAGGGCCGAAATCTTAGCGGGTCTATTCCTAACTTGAGTGAACCAACGGATCGGCTTGAGCAAGTCTCGGTCCACATTGAGATGTYGATRCCACYTGTCTTCGACCRTCTCCCGCAATCTACGTTTRGGGCGGAGCATACGATAGACTGATTTYGTTTTTAGAGTGTGTASTGTTAGTGGTTTTGTYGGCCTTTGTCTAGTCGTGACTACCTGGGACCAATGCCACTCGTCGGGGTCGAAGGGGAGATCCTCAATCGGGGTGGTTGGGCGGTAGGCCCATCGTCCTCTGCCATTTTCTAGCACCCTGATGCGGTATATGTTCGTTTTATCCTTCCAAATAAACGGATCATGGCTGCCCCGTAAAGAGTCATCCCTTTGGATGGCGAAAATCTCAATCAGGGTCTGTGTTTGGTTGACAACGTGTACTTGCCCGACCTCCTCCTTAGGATCGGGCAGGCCCATCCAGTCACCTTCTCTCAATTGAGGGTCTTTTCGAAGGATGCTATACCACTGGAGGGGGAGACTTTCAATCAGGTCGTTTAACGCCGATTCCGTGCGATGGCAGTAGCGAGCCATGCACGCATCCTTTCTGCACTCTTCCAGCATCTTCCTTCTATATCCCACAGATCCCCTACCCTACTGGCTCCATTTTTAACCCAACCTTTCCACGGGGCGTCTGAGCTGCATCTTACCTGGCCCAAGGCATCCGTAATCAGACGATTCCCAAACAGCGGTTGTCTGAAAATTTCTTCCCATTGATCCGGGCTGGGTCGGTCGGGCGGCGGGAGCTTCCTCCATGTGCGAAGTAAGCGCAGCCAATATGTGCTCACCGAGTCCCCAGTCTTGTCTTTCCTTGGCAGCTTCCAGTATCTGTTTTGTTGCCATACCAGGGGGTCAGTCTCCGAGGGGGCCTCCGGTGCTAGGGCAGCAATTTGTGCCAGGGCCAGAGGGGGCCAGGGGGAGGACGGAGAAAAGATGATGTGCTGGAGCCAGCGAAGTGTGAGCGCCTGGGATTGAGTGGCCGGGTCCACAATTCCTAGTCCTCCCCTGGTCTTGGGTTGAATCACTGAGTCCCAAGCTACTCGACTAATTGCGTGGGGGGCATTACTGTCCCCTCCCCAGAAGAAGGCGGCTAGTTGCTGTTTGAGTGACCTGAGCCCCCCGTCGCTCATGGGCCATACAATCGATTTGTACCAAAGTGTGGCCAGAACCACATTATTAATGACCAGGGCCCTCCCAAATAACGATGTGTGCTTTTTATTCCTTTGCTTTAGTTTGGCTTTTGCTGGTCTAGTCAGCCACTCGTCGTTGGTCGCCAGCTTTCCGTTTGCTGTAAGTAGGGCCCCCAAAACTCTCAATGGGTCTTCCGGGGGGAGCCATGTGATTCGCGGGTTTTCAGGGGGTGTTCCTCCTTGATGGTGTAACCACCAACCTGTAGCCTTCTGCCCCCAATTTACTGCCATATCTGAAAGCTGGCAGAACCGGTTCATGAGACTTTGGATTTCTTCCATGTTACGGTCCGTCGCTTCCACCATTATGGAAAGGTCATCTACAAAAACGGAGCAGATCGCCACAGTCTCTTCCGGGATATTAGTGATTTTGATACGAGAGAGGTTCTTGTGATGCCTGAGGTTGGCCGAAAATTACCACAAAAAGATAGGGTGCGATGGGGTCCCCTTGTCTTACGGACCTCTAAAGCTCGAAGGGGGGCGCTATCGACCCGTTTACCTGCACACAGGTGGTGGCGTTTCGATGAAGGATCCTAACCCAACGTCGAAAGACTGGACCAAAGTTCATTCTTTCCAAACATTTATCCAGGAATGTCCAGTCAACGTAGTCGTATGCTTTTTCAAAATCAATTAATATAATGACCGCGTTTGCTTTATTTCCTTGGGCTAGTTGGACCACCTCGTTAACTAGTAAGATATTTTCTTGTATATTCCTTCCGGACATGAATCCTGTCTGGGCCGGGTGTATGACATCTTCTAGGACGGATGCCATACGATTCGCCAACGCTTTGGAAACCATTTTATAGACTACTGTGAGCAGAGTGATAGGTCTATAGTTTCTAATGTTCATTTTGTCACCCTTTTTATATAGCAATAATAGCACACCTCTACCCACAATTTCTCCCATCTCCCCGGCGTTCCACACCTCCTAATAATACTCCCATAAGTCCGCGCTCAGATCCAGCCACATGGTTTCCCAAAATTCCTTTGGGAGTCCATCTATGTCGGGGGTTTTTTCCTCTTTCATTTGGAGGAGAGCTGTCCAGATTTCATTTTTAGACAAGGTTTCTTCCAGCTGTTTCCGTTGTTGTGAGGAGAGGTGTCGATCCATTGGTGTTAAGAACTCCTCCAGTTCCTTGTCTCTTCTGTCCGTTTGTGAAGGTGGGATCTGGAAGGTGTATAACTGTTTAAAAAAGGTCCGAGTAATTAGTGTGCAGTGTGTTGTGTC